TGTTTTGCTTCTGGAAAATTGTGTGGCCAAGACTGTACCTGCCAGGATTGTTTTAACAAATTGGAGTATGAAATGACAATTCTCAGGGAGAAAAAGAACAACATCCTATGCAAAAATCCCTCAGCATTTGTGAGTATTCATTTTCATATATATTACTAACAGATCAGATTATTACACATTACTCCATCAATTCTTTTTGTGGACTCGTTATAATTTCATCAATGTGCTTTTATATACAGGACAAAAGGGTCGATCATGGAAAATTAAGAATAGGTTGTAACTGCATAAAGTCAGAATGTTCAAATGGGTACTGCCCATGCCATAAGGTAATTTTGCATATTCAGCTTTTGATCAAACTTTTGTTACATAAATTTATTGAATATTTTACTTACAAAAATATTATTGAAAAATTCGAAATTACTTTCTATTAATATTTTTTTTCTCTTTGCAAATGAAGGCCAAAGTTGGTTGTTCTGATTTATGCCGATGCAAAAACTGTAAGAATAGCTGTGGCAGCAAAACTGGAGGTAAGAATCTTTTGTGCAAACATCTACATCTTGATCAGTTTATCTTAGAAGAGTAGATATTGTTCCTTGTTTGATAATTTGAAATAGATTATATGAGAAGTGTTAGAGAATTGACAGTGGGCAAGTTTCAAGATCAACTAATAAACCTTGTTTGGTTTCTCCTCAAAATTCTGCTTCGTGCATAGTTTATTATATTGCTTGTTCGGTAATAAGTAATTTATACATGTGTTTTGCGCGTATAGGAAAAACTGCATCATCAGATTTTAACTTAACTGCTGCTCAAAGGGACCTTGCCCTTCTCAACACTCCAAGGAACAATATTATTTCTTCTGTCAATGATAGGCAATTGGTAAGTCTTTCATGCTTGCACGTGTCCTTTAATTTGGAGGCCATTATTATATCAACTTTAATTTGGTCTAAACTTTTAAGTTTACAATTATAAGCTCAAATAATTCAGATTTTTCTTATAACTTGCTTCAAGTAAAAGGACAAAAATTTGCATCTGCACAATCCGTAGCACACCAGCTTTCAACTAACATTATATCATCATAGGTCTAAACTTTAAGTAGCATATTACTTGATGATTTACATATAATTAAGCTCAATTAATAATTCAGATTCTGCTATTTTTACTTGATAATATTAGAGAATTTGTTGGATTAATACATTCCCTTTAGGTTCAAAAGCTTGACTATGTTTTGGTGTGCATGAATGTTAGGGTGGTGGATTATTGGAAACGCTCGCTCATGACAACTCAACGCCGTTTAGATCTGCCAATCATCAGCGGGTACTGGATGGAACACCTGCACCGCCTAATCCATTTCAAGTTCAACACCTCTTTGCGCCACCAAACAACATTATCCGTCCAGCACCGCCGGCCGCCGTGGCTCAACAGCAAGAGAATCCATTTGCTCCGGCAAACAACCTTATCCGTCCACCGCCGGCCGCCATGGCTCGACAGCAAGCAAATCCATTTGCTCCAGCAAGCAACGTTATCGGCCCATTGCCGGCCACCAGGGTTCAGCAGCAAGGGAATTCATTTGCTCCAGCAAGCAACATTATCCCTCCATCGCCGGCCGCCATGGTTCAACAGCAAGCGAATCCATTTGCTCCGTCAAACAACATTGTCCGTCCACCACCGCCGGCTGCCATGGTTCAACAGCAAGCGAATCCATTTGCTCCGTCAAACAACATTGTCCGTCCACCACCGCCGGCTGCCATGGTTCAACAGCAAGCAAATCCATTTGCTCCATCAGGCGACATCCGTCCACCGTGGAGGACCGTCCAAATGGCCGCCATAGCTCAACCGCAAGGGAATGCATTTTGTGCTCACGCACTTTATCAGCCTCAGCAGTTGATGAACCCAGCCAATCAATATCTTTGCTGGCGCGGCCTATAGGGCGTTTCCTGTGAATCCACAAGATAACAATCCATTAATTCTTGTTCTAATAATGTAATACTTCTTTGTTTTTCCTTTTAGGACACTGTACATATTTACGCAACTGTGAAATATATAATCATTGAAGTTTAATTTGCTTGTTTTTGTGAACAATGGATGTCAATGGTTTCCCTGTAAAAATTTCAATCAAGTTTGATAGTATATAGAATTTGTGTGTCCCTGCTCGTATCCATGAACATGAGCATTATTCTTATTCATATTCATACACGTCTTACGTACACCAGCTCATTTGTTCAGTATTTTTAGGATATTATATTTAATTTAGGGTTAATACAATTTTTAGTCCCTTAAATTTACCCTATCATTTTGTATTTGATTCCTTAAGTTTTAAATTATAAGTTTTAGTTTCTTAAGTTTCTTTCCGTCTAAAACATTCCTCTCATAATTTAATAAAAATCTGAATCAATTTGCCTTTATGATTTGAAACTTGATGGATTAAAATCAAAATTCTTATTCTAATAATGTAATACTTCTTTCTTTTTCCTTCTAGGACTCTGTATATATTTACGTAACTGTGAAATATTTAATCATTGAAGTTTAATTTGCTTGTTTTTGTGAACAATGGATATGACTGGTTTCAGTGTAAAAATTTCAATCAAGTATGATCGTACATAGAATTTGTGAGCTTCTGCTTGTATCCATGAATATGAGCATTATTCATATTCATAGACGTCTTACGTACATCAGCTCATTTGTTCAGAATTTTTAGGATATTATATTCAATTTAGGTTAATACAATTTTTAGTCCTTCAGATTTTTTTTTTATCACTTTGGATATGATTATTTAAGTTTCAAATTACAAGTATTAGTTCCTCAAGTTTCATTCCATCTAAAAATTAGTCTCATAAATTAGTAAAAACATGAATCATTTTGTCTTTAAAGTAACTAAAACCTATGATTCGAAACTTAAAGACTAAAAGCAAAAGTCATACAAACTTTAAGGACCAAAAATTATATTAACCGTTTAATTTATTTAGTCATAAAGAAATAAACATACAAAACATGTTTGATTTTAAAGAGACAAAATTATTGGATTTATATATATATATATATATAAAATCTTTAAAAATGAACGAATATATGTGATTATTTTAAAAACATTGGGTTATTGAAATTTCATGGGAGTTATCATCACTTGGATCAATTGTATCTTTTTATATTTTGCCAGCGGATCAAATGTATTTAATTCTCCCATTTCTCTTTATTTAATTTGGAACCACGCACATCTAATAGTTATCAAGCCCCTTAAAACTGTGTTAATTAATATCTTGCTCAAGCAAATGTGGTCAGCAAAAGCTGCGCATACGACATTAATAAATAATTAAATATCGGCCATCTTTTCGCCAAGGAATATATCAAGTCTATTCTTAGGGCACAATTTCATGGTTTTTTTTTTATTTGAAAAAATCATCAGAAATACAAAATTTCTGCATGTCATGACTATAAGATATCGGGATGTATCTCAGTTTATCTAAAAGCCAATGATGAAAAATTAGTATAGAATTAATAATTGCTGAAAAGAAAAGAGAAAGGAAAAAAAAATACTACAATGAATAATGCAAACCATAATAATTAATGAAATACTTATTTTATTTATTTACGTTGGAAAAATATTTTGTTGAATATGAGATAGAAAATAATAATTGTTTTAAATAAAATTTTATCTTGATCTGGGTTGTCATTTTTTTTCAAAAAATAAATAATTATCTCTATTGAAAAGAATACAAAATATTCTAATCGATTAAGATAATTCACATTGAAATTAAGGAAGAAATTCTATATTTCTTTTAATTTACGGTGTTGCGAAACAAAATCACTTACGGATCTTAATGTGATCTTTTGGGCAACAGATACCGAGATACGCGCACAAGTTAAATAAATTTAATGAAAATTTATAACTTCTCTATCTTAAAGAAAGTCATCTCCCATAGCAACGAATTACACTATTTTTATCATGAGAATAATTTGATTTACTATTTTCATAAAAAAATATGATTTACTATTGATTTTATATTTTGTATCAAAATTTTCTATATATTAGAGAAAAACTAACAAGTATTTAAAAAAATCGATCTTTCGTGTCATTTGATTTTGAGACGTAATTCAATATTTAAAAAATGGATTATTGTTAATGAAAAGAATGTACAAATATTCTAGTAATACATTAAACAATTGAAATCTATAAGTTGAAAATCATATAAACTATCATTACACACATAAAAGATCATTATGTAAACTGTGTATAAATACGAAAAACAAGGGTATTTTAGGGAAAAAAATTTCATAGTAATTTTAATTAATTTGGTAAAATTTGTTTAATATAATAAAATTTGTTGAATATATTTTAAATTAAGTACAAAAAGATTACTTCATTTTATTTATGGTCAACTTCATACACGGGGTATCAGATTCACTTCCGATCCCCAAGTACAGCATATTCACCTTCTGGAAGTATATATAACGGTCATCACTGCTTGATCTATAAAGCTCTCCTTCTCATTAATTTCTTTTTTTAAAAACCAAACCCCACCATCCTTTTATAATACGAACCAGACACAGAAGAATCATATAAAGCACCGTCGCTGATGAATTCTGAAAATCTTCCCATTAATATTATAGAAGTACGTACAATTACATCTTAGTTTATTTTTTTTTAAATGTTAATTTTTTGTAGTATAGTTATTGCGTTGCAATATTAGAGATGCAAATGTTAATATATGATAATTATTTTTTTGAATTATTTGTTCAAGTATGCTTCATGATCAGGACCCAGTTGAACGTTACACTGAAGCTTTCTTCAGAACGCTTGTTGATTTGCCACCATCACCCGCTATTGATTTTCAATCTCCGGAAGTTTATCTCAGTGACCGTACTCCCCAAGATTCAAGTCAACATCGCCATGTCCCGCTGGTCAACGTAATTGTAATTCACTGTGTCTGAGATCTTCAAGATAAAACTAATTTAATTTTATATATATAATATTTTTTTTTTGATACACAAGAGACAAAACAAAACTAACTAAAAGTGGCAGCCTCCACGGTGTAATCCTTCATTACTAACTCACGCAACTCCTCAGTCATGAATGAGAACAAATGCAAACCAGGGGCGGTCCTTAGCGCCTTCTTGGCTAGATGGTCGGCTACCTCGTTAGTTGATCTCGGAATGAGACCCAGATCCACCTCCCAAGAGCGATCAACCATAGAGCGAGCTTCAGAAATCAACTGGAGAAGATGATGGTCCTTATCTGAAGAATGATACAACAAGCGAATCACTTCAGAGGCATCAGTTTCGACGATAACCTTCCTAAAACCAAAGTCCCACGTCATTTTCAGGCCACACACCAGAGCCCACAGCTCGGCAGCCAGGCTATCACCGTCGTTAGGATGGAACATAAAGCCGCTGATGAAGGAACCCACATGATTTCGCAAAATCCCTCCACAGCCGGCTCCATGCAGCGTGGAGAAGGCACCATCAACATTCAGTTTAACCCAGCCTGGTGGAGGGGGGGACCATTTAATACCCTGTACCGTGACACGGTGACCATTGAGATTACTGCCTCTGAGTTTAGTTGCAGCCTGTTTCAGGTTTGAGAGGATGTGCCTTGCCTTGGCTATCAGCATTGCATTCGGGGTCCACTTGCCTTCGAAAATTCTCTCGTTCCTACTTGACCAAAGGAGCCAGCAAATAGTGGCAAAAAACTCACTCCAACCGTCGCCGAAGGAGCCCCCGGGGTTCCGTATATTGAATTGTAGCCAATCCGTTAACTCGAGGGAGAAGAACCTGTCCAACAAGCTGTATTTGACCATGGAAGACCAAAGGCATCTAGTGTCGTCACAGTCCCGAAGAACATGAAGTAAACTCTCGCAATGAGAGCCGCACCACGTGCAGATTGGGGTCGTCACCATACCTCTTTCCACTCGAGCTTGATTCGTCAAAAGTTTATTGTGGAGGGAAAGCCACATGAATGTCTTGCACCGTTGAAGGACTTGGAGTTTCCAAATTTTACTCCATATCGGGTTCGAAACCTGCTGGTCCTGTGTAATGAGAGAATAAGCTGACTTAATAGAAAAGACACCGTTCCTGTCGTATCGCCATCGTGCTTCAATATTGCCCTGAGTTGTCTGAACCCCCTCCTGAACATATTTCCAAGCGTCTTTAATGCCTTTCCAGATGTTCGAACCAGGTCTTTCGTGATCTATAGTGGGTATCAAATCAGACCCACATCTATATTTGGTTCTAATTACCTTAACCCAAAGAGCATCCCGACGATTGATGAGGTTCCAACCCAGTTTAGCCATGTAGGCTTGGTTCTGGTGGCGTAAATGCTTAAGACCGAGACCTCCATTCTTCTTCGGAGTGCAAACCTTATCCCAGGCTACCAGATGCGGTTTCCTGTGACCTTCGGAGGACCCCCATATGAAACACCTATTATGTTTCTCCACCGCTTCACACGTGCTTATAGGCAGGGAGGCAGTTTGGATCGAGTACTCTGGAATAGCTGACGTTACGGAAGATGCCAGAGTGATCCTGCCTGCTAAAGAAAGAGAGTTAGCCTTCCAGTTGGACAGTCTCTGTTTCACCTTGTCTACCACCTCTTGATAACTGCTTTTAGAGATTCTTCTATGATGGAGTGGGGCTCCCAAATACTTGCCGAGATCTGCCGCAAGTTGAAAACCGAGGATGTTGCTTACTTCGGACCTCCGGGTATGGTTCACATTCCTGGAGAAAGAGACTCGGGTTTTACGCACGTTAACTTTCAGACCTGAGCGGCTATAGAACTCTTCGAGGCAAGAGTGAATGACCGCTGCTTGATGAATGGACACTTCTGAAAACAAGATAATATCATCAGCAAAAAATAAGTGAGAAAGAGGAGGGCCTTGCTTACACAGCGAGATTGGGGTCCATTCGTTCTTATTCACTCTCTCCTGAATCATTTGGGCTAGTTTCTCCATGCATATCACAAAGAGATATGGGGAGATAGGATCCCCTTGCTGGACCCCTCTGGTGGGTTTGAATTCTTCCGTCTTTTCCCCATTCCAAAGAAGTTGCATTTTAGCTAACGATATGCAATGGGATATGATCTGGGTAACATGAGTAGGAATTTGCATCTCATTGAGACAGTTAATGAGGAAATTCCAGTTCACTCTGTCATAAGCTTTCTCAAGGTCGATTTTAATAGCCATGAATCCTTTATATCCCTGTTTGATTCGCATGGAGTGCACCACTTCCTGGGCCACAATAATGTTATCCGAGCTATGACGACTGGGAATGAAACTGCACTGAGTAGGACTAATCATATAAGACAAACAAGGCTTGAGTCGATTGGCTATGATTTTAGTGATAATTTTAAAGATGACGTTGCACAGCCCAATAGGTCGGAGGTCTCTCAACATTTCTGGGTGATCAACTTTCGGAATGAGTACGAGATAAGTATCATTAATATTAGCAATACCATCCGGATTTCTCCACACGTGTTTGATAAAAGAACAGATAGAAGCTCCCACATGGTCCCATTGGCTTTGGTAGAATAGAGGATTGAGCCCGTCCGGTCCCGGTGCTTTGAGCGCCCCCATGGAAAATAAAGCTTCCTTGATTTCAATGTCTCCCACTTCTCTTACCATTCTAGTCTGATCCTCCTCCTTCAAGGGTGGATAAGTAATTGAGCAAGCAATAGGCTCTCTAGCGGGTTGGTCTTCCGTGAACAGATGAGAGAAGAAAGCGGTGGCCATTGACTTTATACTTTCAGCATTATAAACCCAATCACCAAGTTCATTCTTGATTGCCCCAATGAAATTACGCTTGCGCCTGTTATTTGCTCGGTTGTGATAGTACTTAGTATTTTTATCTCCATAGATCTGCCAATCGCTCCTAGCTTTCTGAGCCCAGATGAGTGATTCTTGTAGGAGTACTTCGTCTAGCTCCTTTCCCAGTTGGCGTTGGAGATCAAGGAGCTCCGGGGAAAGACTGACTCTAGCTTCCACTCTGGAGATACCTTCCAGTCTACAGAGTAAGGATTTCTTTCGAGAATTTGTATGCCCAAAGACCTCTTTATTCCACGTTGTACAGGCGCTCGTGAATTGATGGATATTCTCAGTCCACGGAACCTGACTCTTCCAGTTACCCCTGACAAATTTTTTAAAATCCTCATGAAGCGCCCAGGATGCAATAAAGCGAAAGGGTCTATTCCCATGCTGTCGAACACCATCTCTGTGAAGCTTTAAGAGGAGAGGTCGGTGATCAGACTTAAAGAAAGGGAGATGAGTAATCGAGGCATCCCTAAAGACATCTAGCCACTCAGGGTTGCTCAAGACTCTGTCAATCCGACTCTCTGAGGTGTTGCGTTTCCAGGTAAACCGTGGACCTAGAAAACCCATATCACTGAGATTTGAGTCTAAGACAAAAGAGTTAAAATCGCGATCTATAGCCCCAGCGGGAGAGCGCTCCGAGGCTGAAATAGTAGCGTTAAAATCCCCTGTAACGCACCAAGGTCCATTTACATGGCACTGTAGAGCTAGGAGCTCCCTCCATAGCGGCCGACGTTTCGCCACTACTGGGCTCGCGTACACTACCGTAAACCACCATACTTGGTCCGCATAAGTTTCAATTTTCAAATGAATGAATTGAGGACTCTTTGAAACGCACTCCACACACCGAATCTTATAGGACCATAAGCACCAAATTCCGCCGCTGAAACCTTCCGCGTCCACAATCTCAGAAAACTGAAAACCCAACTTCTTGCTGATATCAACAGCTTTGGCCCCGCTGCAACGAGTTTCTAGTATGGCCACAAAATCCAAGCTGTAGAAGGAGGTCAATTCCCGAACGAGTTGAGGAAAGGAACGTGAGCCTGTCCCTCTAGAGTTCCAGATTAAGCAATTCATGAGGAAACTGGTACAGAGTTTTGGGAGGAGACTCCCGTCGGTGTAATAACCTGGGTATCATTCTCACTGGTCTGTCGTACATGTTGTTGGACCCCCCCCGACGTCAAGTTTAGAAGCTTGGACATGCGAGATCGCCTCAATGATCATTCCAGCATTGCTGCTGGTATTAGTTTGTCCCTCCTGTGTCCCACCGTTGAGGATGTAGAAAGGATTGGAGAGAATGAGTTTCCCACGTGCTTCATTTTTACCTAGATCACGTTTGCCTTTTGATTGACCCAACAGTTTAACCCCTAGAATATTCTCCTTTCCTTTAAGCTTACGTGAACCGGGTAGTTTCTTTTTTGAACCAGCTGGGACCCAGTCACTCTCATGATTATTATGGACTTGTATGTCAGTTCCCTGTTATCCACACCCTGAATCTCATCAAGTTGAATGTCAAGGATCTCGGAATCTTTGGTACGGGCTTCCTTGGCTTGCCACTGCTTTTTCGGGATCTGATTAGATTGTACCTGCACCTTTTGCGGCATTGTAACAGCTGCTGGTTGAGCTAGCGTTTTCTTCGCCACCAATTCTGTCTGAGATTTATCCGTATCATGAGTCGCAAGTCTCGTGCGGAAACTACGTTTGACAATCATGTGGGGACCGAAAATATTGCTATCAACATTAACAGTTGTTGTCCCCGCCGTCGGCTTCTCGGTGGAGATCGAAGAACCGACGTTGGATTCCGAAGGCAAGCAATGTGCATTGGACGAGCTACCAGTCTTCTCCGCCTCCACTATTCCTGTTGGGCACTGTTCTTTGTGATGACCATATTGGCCGCACCGAAAGCATATGAGGTGTAACCCCTCATATAGGATTTTATGCACCTCACCGAAGTGCATGAAAGCCGGTAGCAAAGGTTTCTCCAAGTCTACTTCCATGCAAATACGGGCAAACCCACCTTTCTCTGAAAAGGCTGTAGTACGGTCAATTTTGAGCATTTAACCAACAAGATTGCCTAGCTGCCAAAGAGATTCAACGTTGTATAACTCGACGGGCAGGTCCGGAATGCGGATCCAGGCCGCGATTCTCTTCTGTTGATCAGCCCTCCAAGGGTTAAAATTCGGACGCCATCTTTGTACTAACAGATAATGATCACCAATCATCCAAGGCCCCTCTTGCAGCGCATAATCCCGGTCTTTTGCCGAAAAGAAAGAGACCATGCTGTAACCGTTACTCAGTGGCATTACTTTAATAGGAGACTGAGGTCTACCCCACATACGCTCCAGGCATTGCCGCATAAAACCCTCGCCAAATGATTTTCCCATAAGCTTCACGATCAAGGAGTTCCGGAATGGTTTGCACCATGCCTCATATTGTGTATCGGAAAATTTCAACGATGGAAACCTCCCCGACTTGGACCAATGCTCCTCATCTGATGATCTTTCCTCAGATAACCCATCTCCCTCCATCACTGCATCTGACGTAGATTTCTTCCCATTCCACTTCGCGAACTGATCCTTCCATCCCTTCATCGCATCCTCCGCCGACATGTGAGTCTCCAAGAAGCCCGAGTCACCCAAGCTAAGCAACTTATCCCTGTACAAGGACCGAAAACCAGAGTTTCGGCCGTTCCGAAATCCTTCAGTGCCGCCATCGCTCTCACTCGCCATCAGGTCGCGCGCTTCTCCGAAACCCTTTCTCTTGTTCTCTTTATATATATAATGTTTTATGCATAGTAATTTAGTTTTCTTATTGCATCGTCCTGTATATGCGCAACTTTTTGAAAAAATCTTTTCATCCTTTTCTTATTGTTAGATTGTTTTTTATTATTTATATTGTACACCACAGGGAAAAGAAATTTTTTTAATAATATCAATTGTGAATAATGATGTGGAAAAATAGAAAAAGTTTCGAACCATATATTTATTCTAAGAAAAATTTTATAAAAACGCGTGTGGGTGTGTATATTTAAATTTAAATTTATTTTATTTTTGTTGTGCAGTAGCAATATAGATGAAATGCTAATATATTAATTTCAGGTCCCGGTTGAAGATTGCCCACCATCGCCAACTATTGATAAGTTTCAATCTTTGGAATTCCAAATTCCCCCCAGTGGCTCTACTTCTCAGTCTTTTGAATTGGAAGTTCTTCCAAATGTCTCCGTTTCTCAATCTTTGGAATTGGAATTTTCCCCAAAACAATCTTTGGAATCGGAAGTTCCTCTGAACGTCTCTACTTCTCAATCTTTGGAATTGGAAGTTTCAAATTATCAACATCTTCATGCCCAACAAAATCAAACAACGCCCACTCCTCAGATTTTTTTGTCAGTATCACCAAGTCATCCAATTGCCAACTCCCCCAAATAAGAGGTTCGTTTCTTTCATTCATTCATTCTCTTAACACCGGTTTCATGGTTTATTTCTAATCACAGTAGATTTCTCTTAATTTGAAGGGTAAAGGTGCGCAAAGCACCCTGATCTATTTTTGACAGTGCACCCAACACCCTAAACTATTTAATGATGCAATTTTACCCCTCATCTAATAAAATTGGAGCAACCTCATCCAAAACTTAACGCCTATGTAACTCCGTTATTTCTTATAACGGCTAGCCATTTGCCTTTTTTTCTTAATGACAGGTAATCTCTTGAGTGTCAGAAGAGGCGATTGTTTTGAGGGGGGAGTATTGTTCATCATCTTCTTCGTGGAGGCACAATTGAGGGAGCACGGTTCATCTCTCTCCTTCTCTCTCTATCTATGTCTTCAAAATTTATTCTGGGTGAAAGCAGTTATAATTAAATCCAGAGAACAACTATCTAATATTCTCAAGTTTTTGCTTTCTTCACTTGAGCAATCTGGGAAAGGACGGTTTTGTTTCAAATTCACTTTTTTTATTTCTACTAAAATGATAGCATATTTGTTTTCTCAAGTAAAATAACTAAGTTGGTTAGAATACCTTAATTGACTAGAAGCTTATCTAGTTAAGACATCATCCTCTAATCCTTTCTCCCATTGAACACCCACGAAGAAGACGATGAATCACCTCCTTTGCCACTCTAAAGATAACGTATCATTTGAAAAGTAAAAAAACAGACGGCCAGTTGTGGGAGATAACGGAGTTAGAGGCGTTAGATGTGGGTTCAGATTGCTCCAATTTTATTAGATGAGGGGCAAAATTGCACCACCAAATAGTTTAGGGTGCTAGATGCTCCTCTGAAAATTGTTTAGGGTGCTGAGTGCACTTTACCCTAATTTAAATTCAGCTAAAGTGAAATTTGTGTGATTCCCAAAAAAAAAATTTGAAAATTTGTGTAATTTGCTCTATTGTTATTTTTACCGTGGAGGATCATTTAAAATGAAAACAAGAATAAATTAAAGGCTAAAGTATTAATTTTTATTTTTTTGAGGACAAGATTAAAAAAAGAATAATCTAGAACGGATTAACTCTTTAATTTTACTCCTTTTTAATTTATATTATTTTTTTCCTTTGATGATCAAATTGTTTTAAAATTAAGCTAATTTTATATCTCTTTATAGGCTGAAGACATCAAGCATCAAGCAATGCAACTGCAAGAACAGCCAATGTCTAAAGCGGTAGGTCCACTTTATAAGCATGTATTAATAATTATGGTAATATCACTTCTTATATTATTAATATACGAATTTGTTTTGTCTTAACAGCTATTGTGAATGTTTTGCTTCTGGCGAATTATGTGGTGAAGACTGTAGCTGCCAAGATTGTTTAACAAACTGGAATATGAGACGACAGTTATCATGGAAAAAAGGAAGAACATTATATGCCAAAATCCCTCGGCATTTGTGAGTATTCAATTTGATGAGCTTGAAGATATATATATATATATATATATATAATATTGCTACACATTACTCAATTCTTTTTTTGGACTCAATGATTTCAATAATGTGATCTTTATAGAACAAAAGTGTGGATCAAGGAAAATCAAGAATAGGTTGTAACTGCACAAAGTCAGCATGTTCAAACGGATACTGTCCATACCATAAGGTAATTCTGCATCTTGATCTTTTTTATTAAACTTTTGTTATTCAATGACATGATTGGATCGTCATATAAAAAAAATTCAAAATTAATTTCTAGTAATATTTTTTGTCTTCTTTAATGAAGGCTCAAATTGCATGTTCTGATCTATGCCAATGCCAAGGCTGTCATAATAATCATGGCAGCAAAAATGATGGTAAGAATCTTTTTGTGCAAAAACATCATATCCATCCTAACTGCTTAGAAATTTTGTTTCTTCTTCGTGGTTTAGTTTATTGTTTGTTCAGTAGCTTCTTTTTTTTTTTTTTTGTCCTGGCGTATAGGAACAGCATCAACTTTTGACTCAAGTGGTGCTCAAAGGGAGCTCGCCCTCTTCACCACTCCAAGTAACAATATTTCTTCAGTCAGTGAGAGGTGATTGGTAAGTCTTTCATGTGTCTTTTGTAGCCCACTATTATATCAACATAGGTCTAAACTATAACTAGGCTATTATTACTGGATTCACATATAAGCTCAATTAATAATTCAGATTCTGCTATTTTACTATTTTTGGTGTACATGAATGTTAGGCTGGTGGATTGGACACGCTCACTCATAACAGCTTAGCAGCATATAGATCTGCAAATCAGCAGGCAGCGCAAATTCCATTTGCTCCAGTAAGACACATCCCTCCGGCACCGGCCGTCCAAATCGCGTCGTGGCTCAACAGGAAGCGAATCCATTTGAAGTGCGAATTCCATTTGCTCCATCAAGCAGCATCCCTCAAATGGCAGATATGGCTCAACCACAAGCGAATCCATTTGATCCTTACACGCCCTATTATCAGTCTCATCAGCAACATGATGTGTGGATGAATCCAGCCAATCCCTTTGCTCATAGGGCGTTTCCTGGGAATGCTGTTTCACAGCCACAAGTAATGGAGCGTTTCATCAGGAAGCTAAGATCAGCCAAAATTGGAAGCATCCTCCAAGGGAATAATCGGTATCGATATATATATATATATATATATATAATGCAGAAAATAGAAGCATAGAGAGAATGTCGTAATTAAAACATACTGGAGTGAAAATAATATGTATTAGTTCCTCCCCCCCCCCCCCAAAAAAAAAAAACATTGAAACTATTTTGATGTATAATGGCCATGGACCTTGATGAGAATGAATTATTTTGATGTATTGTGGATCCATAGAATGAATAATGGAATTATTCAGTAAATTGTCTCTGTTATTGGATTGTTGTGAACTTGCTGATTTGGGCTTTGATTTTCTGGGCCGCTGAAGCCCCGTCGTCATACACATGACAGTATTGATTTAGCAGGTTAAAATGATATGGTTCAAACTTTATAAATCATTTAATTATATATTTTGATCCTTCTCTATTATATATGAATAGATCATTTATATATTGGGCATTGGAGTTTTGTATGCGTAAAACTTTATAAAGCACAAAACATAGCAATAATACGATTATAGTACACAACATAAATTTTAAAAAATCTATGATAATGTATTGTACAAGAGCCACACCTATGTGATCTTGAAAGTATCCATACTCCTCAGCCGTTGCAGAATTGATTGGGCTTATCCATGGACCTTAATTATGTTGGTTAAGAGCTATATTCAGGCTTTTTGTTTTTTTCCCCCTAATTTTATTGGGGTTATTAACTTGAGTTATGACTCAACACATCCTTTTAGAGACCTTATAGATAAAACTTCGAATTTATTTCATAGAAATTAGCACGTTATTTGAATTATACCTCTAGAGCTGAGAACTCTATGGGGGACATCTTGCCAAAATATTCTATAGTTTTTAAGAAAATTATTGCATTTTTTAATCACCTTTTAATCACCTTCCTTCTTTCTCCCCTAGTTGACATAGATGGAGATGAAGAAAGTCATTCCCTATTTGTTGCAGTTTTATAGTTTTTTTTTTTCCTTATATGACTTAATGGTATTCAGTTTTTACTAAAAAAAAAGTTTGGAT